AAGGTAAGGTAACTATTCTATACAAATTATAAGAATAAATAATTTTAAATATAAAGCTGCAAATATCAATAGCAACAAACGCTAAAGAAAACAAGAATATATCATAACACGAGAATATATTACAAGGAAATCAGTAATAAAAGATTGTTCTTCAAAATACATTTGTTCAACACAGCAGCTTAATATATTGCATAATTATAGCGGCAAAATAATATTCCAAAATTGGTCTGGCAATTTTGTGCGTTTCAAAACTTATTGAAAATATTTTTCAATCATTTTGCTTACAAGTGTACACGTATGGAAATGCAAATATTATGGGTTATAATAAGATCATGTTTTTGAACAAAATCCATATATAATCTTTTTTTCCTGGAGTGGTCAGACAGATGTTGTCAGACTGATACCAATAATGTAACGATCTGCTGATAAAATTTGACAGCTGATTGATGATAGAAACTAAGCAGAGTTTGTAATTTATTATTTGTACCTACCTATTCAGTTTCTGCTATGAATCTGCTGTAATATTTTGTCAGCAGACAGAATGCAAGTGCAAAACAGCATTTTGTTGTCCAAATAATTTTAAATCTATTAACACGTCCTGCTCAAATATGTCACCAATTTGTCAACGATCTTGTAACAGATTGCTTACTGAGTAAATACTTTATAAATTTTGTTGATTAATAAGTAACACATCATATACATATCTAATAAATATACCATCTAATAAATAATATAATGTACACATAATAATATAATATATTAGGTGCGCAACTAAGTTCCCGCTGTTTTTCAAGAGATGGCTCCAGTAGTAAGTGCTGGTCGATTGTGACATAACCAAAACGTCATGAACCAAGCTTAGACATATGGTAAACAAACCGCTTTGACACATTAGTGATTTTGTTTTTGCGTCATATACTTTTGGTTGTGTGAAAATGTCTGATTTTGTGCCAAATAATCGTCATTTGCGGGAAGTGTTGCTTTTCTTCTTTCATTCGAAGAAAACGGCGGCTGAAGCGCATCGAGAACTCCAAAAAGTTTACGGAGATGCTGCTCTAAGTGAAACAACGTGCCGTGATTGGTTCCGTCGCTTCAAAGACGGTGATTTCGATGTTGACGACCGTTCGCGTGAAGGAAGGCCAAAAACCTTCGAAGACGCTGAATTGGAGGCATTGCTCGATGAGGATCCGTGCCAAACGCAAAAAGAGCTTGCTTCAGCATTAGGAGTTACCCGCCAAGCCATTTCCAAGCGATTGGGAATGATTCAAAAACTAGGAACTTGGGTTCCTTATGATTTGAAGCCAAGAGACGTTGAGCGTCGTTTTTTCGCCTGTGAACAACTGCTCCAGCGGCAAAAAAGGAAGGGTTTTCTTCATCGCATCGTTACGGGTGATGAAAAATGGATCCATTACAGCAACCCAAAGAGAACAAAATCATGGGGACTGCCCGGTCATGCTTCTACGTCGTCGGCTCGGCCGAATATTCACGCTGCGAAGGTTTTGCTGTGTATTTGGTGGGACCAGGGCGGTGTTATTTATTATGAGTTGTTGAAACCGAACGAAACCATCACTGGGGAACGGTATCGAACTCAATTGATGCGATTGAGCCGAGCACTGCGCGAAAAGCGGCCACAATATGAGCAGAGGCACGAAAAAGTGATTCTACAGCATGACAACGCTCGGCCTCACGTTGCCAAACCCGTTAAAACCTACTTAGAAACGCTCAAATGGGAAGTCCTACCCCACCCGCCATATTCCCCAGATATTGCGCCGTCCGATTATTACTTGTTCCGTTCGATGGCACATGGTCTGGCTAATCAGCAGTTCCGCTCATATGAAGACATCTCAAAATGGCTTGATTCGTGGATGGCCTCAAAAGACGAACACTTCTACCGTGACGGTATTCGAGCTCTGCCAGAAAGATGGGAAAAAGTTGTCGCTAGCGTTGGGCAATATTTTGAACGATTCATTTGTAACCATTTTTTCACAATAAAGTTGCATTTTCATCAAAAAAACAGCGAGAACTTAGTTGCGCACCTAATAATATATGCAAATAATACATAATATACATATGAAAAAATTTTGTATTCTGCATATGTATTCATATAAATCCATGTCATTAAATATCAGAATTCCATGACACATAATGGAAACACAGGAAGAAGAGGTTATGTCATCGATCATGCTCGTATTACTTTTAATTACAATAAAACAGGAACAGAACAATAATAAAAATAAGTTTATATACTTACTGGAAGATCAGCCATAATGTATAATAAATCACGTAATGGATTAACAATTACTCTCCCAGCGAAAACTCTGACGTCGCTGACTAGCTAGTCAGGCAAACGACACGTTGTATCACGGCTAGAGTCCATGAAATGCTACGAATGCTTCATAGCACTAAAATATGGGTTGTGATTGGCTTATATGGAACTATGTAACATTTGTGGCCAACTAGATGAGCCGCAACCTATGTTAAATTATAAATTTAAAATTAACATTGACTTCAACAGTGACTGTTGATGTGTTTTTATTTTTGGCGCTTTCGCTTTTTTAAGGTTCTCGCAGCCGATATAATGAGCAATATATGATAAGTGACACGCGATATCTAATGAGTTTTCAATTATTTCATAAAAGTTGCACGCTCATTGGACGTCTCGCGTTACATATCACATATTGCGTTGCACATCTAATTAATTAATTAATTAATTAATATTTAAGCTACACAAAAACAATTTCCCAGAGAGAAATGGCAGTTGAATACCCAGATAGCACCCGACATCCAATGGATGTACGTTTCACGTCCAATTTATGTCCGTATGTCCGATTTACGTCCGTGGACATAAATTGGACGTAACAAGGATGTTCTTATTTGGACATCGGACCTGTGTAAGACGCCCGATGTACGTCCATCGGACGTCCATGTCCGATGGATGTCCGAAGTTGTGACAAACGTACGTCCTATGGACGTCTTTTGTAAAATAATGGACATATAAAGTGTCCAGTGAACGTCCGTGTGCTATCTGGGTAGACACTGAATCAACATCAATTAGACGTCTAAAACGTTTATTGCATTGTCTACGATATTTGGAGTAAACTAGACATGAGAAGTAAACCCTGACGTCGATATATTACGAATGAATTCTAAAACATGTAATTTTACTAAAGATAGAAGACTAGACATAACTTAGATTTCTCCAACATCGATTAGATGTCGAATCGTCGTCAGCGTTCTCGCTGGGATGTTAGTTGCAGCTGCTGCGATAAAATAATATAATTGAATTCTTTCTATTGAACGCTGTGTTCTGATATTTGCTACTAAGTCTGAAAATCTATAGTGGATGTTAAGTATACTATAGAATTTTAGACACAGATATATAACAGTTACATTGTTGAGTAGGAAATTACAACCAACATGTACGTTACATGTAACCGTGTGTTTGCTGGGAATAGACTGTTACAAGAATAATCGATTGTTACTGATCAATTTCTTACTGTTAGTGTCAATGATTCTCTATTACATGATCCCTAAAATATACTGCATGTGTTTATTAAAGAGTTAACGTACAAATTTAGCGATACTGTTAAACAGAAAAAGCCTAATGTAAAGTGTTACAGAATATTTCTTCATGGTTGCACATCAATGGATAATAGCCACAATTGTGAAGAAAATGTATCAGAAACAGACCGAGATGTCAAACATGCAAAGCGAAGAATGGATAAAATTTCTTAAAATTACAATTTATCAAAAAATAGTATTTCTTAATTTTACAGATTTTGTCTTGAATATTAATTTCAAAAGTATAATACTAAAATGAAGAGGGCAATTTATGAAATATCATATTATTCCTCTTTATGGAAGATGTGCAAATATTCTATAAAGAAAAATAATATTTTGTTTAGAATGTCTCTCTCTTGATTCTATTACAATTCTCTCAACCTTAATATTCAAAAGAATTTCTGTAAGAACAAAAGTAAATTTTGTGTGGAATTGAGATAAAAAACTGCGTTTTTGATAATCATTGCCTGAACTAAAAATATCTATAGTATATTTAACATCAACTATAGATTTTTAGACCTGGCAGTAAATATCAGAACACAATGTTAAATGGAAAGAAACCAGCTATATTATTAAATCGCAGCAATTACACATGTGGAACAGAAGTAAGAAAAGCATATATTAATTTGTATAATTTTTTTAAAAGGCATGGTTTGCTGTAACTATAACTATACTTTTCTATACACTTCTTTTTTTACGCATTTTACGTTTCGTGTTCTTCTTTTTCATTTATTACATTTTACAAGTTGCTTAGGTATATCTCTTCTTTACGTTACAATAATCTTAGTAACATGCGAAAGTTCCATAGTTTCTCTTTTTTACGATAACTATTTTTCTTATAAACATATCTATAAAATATTGATTCAAAAATATTTTGTTCCACAATGCATTGTTTGTAATACATAGTTGTTGTACTTTTCTTCTTGCAGCAATTAAAGCATTTTAACTTGATAGCGGATTATGCTTTATTATTATGCTGCATGTAACAATTGAATTATATAATGAAAACGTTATATTAATACTATTAATATTAATTGATTTTTTGTCTATACAGATGGCAGATCGACCGAAGCGAGCGATAACGAAACCATCACGTTATCAGACAATATCATCAGAAGAAAGTCCAAAACGCCAAAGAATGCAGCACATGGAAAGTGAACACACGGAGGAGGACGTGGAGCAAGATATTCGGGACCTAAGAAATACACTTGAAGACTCAGATAACCCAATAAATAATAATAGTTTTAATAATATTATAAACACACAAATCACACACATACCCATACATTACTCCTACGCATGCAAACCATAATCCAGTTCCACCAATTTCTGCATCCCATCCAACACATCCATATCCATACACCATACCTCAAAACATTCCTGTCACCTCCTCCCAGTATCACGTACTCCCCCACACATATGATACACATATAAATACTGAAATGCAAACACAAAGTTATACTAATTCGCAACATCAGTTTCAGTTAGCGACTTCTTCTATGGGACAACCTTCAACACAACAGCATGCTGCAACAATGGCAAGTACGGACATCTCTGCGCCAAATGAAGCACAGATTTTGTGAGTATAAGTACTTACGCATGCGCGCGCACGCACACACACACACACACTCTCTCTCTCTCTCCAATGAATAATAGTCAAATAATAGTTTCAGGTTAATTATGGAACGTATGGATCGTTATGAAGCTGAATTGAAGTGAATATTATATACCATTAAACATACATACATATAATAATTTTTACATTATATTTAACTTATAAGTTTAATTTTCAAATAATAATACGTTGGCATTATTTTTTTCTTACAGGAAAACGAATAATATGCTACAGACTATTTTGAAATGTGTGGAAACCAATCGGGACCGAAAGCGCATGCCGCGAAAACCGGACAACCTCCCAATACGTAGTCTTGCTGAGATGGAAGCATTTGAAATGATGAACGACGAGAAATATGATAAAATGGTAAGTAAATAGATATTTAAATATTATTGTATATATTTAAAATTCTCTCTCTCTCTCTCTCTCTCTCTCTCTCTCTCTCTCTCTCTCTCTCTCTCCCTCTCTTTCTCTCTCTCTCTCTCTCTCTCTCTCTTGGTATATTAATATATTTATTTTCCATAATTTTTTCAGATAAACTATTTCACCTATATCGGGGGCTTCAATCTAAAGGAGGCAATAAACTTATGTTTTAAAGAAGGCATGAAGGACGAAATCACGGCTTCTTTTACTTGGTGGGGTCGCGAAGGAGGTCCAAGATCCCTTTATAATACCAGACTTATTATGGCAATTTATGGTAAGGTGTTAAATTTTATTTATATGTGTTCAAAATTATTAATCGTTTCATATTGTATATATGTCAACTTTTTTTAGAAGGAGTATGCAGGAATCAACATTTCAATAAGCCGACACGGTCAGAATTTCAAATAGAGATGCGAGAAGCTCTACGGACAGCCAAGCAGAGACACAGGAACAAGCAGCGTCAACCACGTGCAGCAGGACCTAATCGCAGCAGACACAACTTTTGGACCGAGGAAGGAGAAGAAGACCATAGTGATAATTAAACAAGAAAATCTTCCTAGTTTCACTTTATAGGTAAGCACTTTGAACTTTTATTATACTAATGATTATTTCATTAAATTTGAAGCGAGAAATCGCATGTTAATTAATATTGCAGGAGAATAAAAATTCAATATACACAAATTATGCAATATATTAAACTGTACAAACTTGTTTTGTTCACAGGTTGGATCTCCAGACAAGAAGAGGATTCAGAGGGGTTTTTTAGCCGGTAGGAGTCCGGCACTACCCAAGTTGATGTGTCCATGATGGATTTTTCCCCTCCTTAAAAAAAACAATATATAAATCAGGCAACATTACACACAGGCAGCGTCTTTTGCAAAAGGTACGTTAACAAATTTTATAAATGTATCTGTCAAATTTTTAATATTGTACTATACAATACATTTTCTCTTATATTTCGTATTATATTTCAGAATTGAATGGAATTTGTCCCGTCCACGAGTGGAAACACCAATTTATTCATAGTTGAATCTTATATTTAAAACTACCTTAAATTCATCTTCAAATACTTAGTAGCGAATGAAATGATCCAGACAATATTTGAAGATAAACTTAAGACGGTCTTAAATATAAGATCCGACTATGAATACCGGCCTAGGAGAATAAAAAAATCATGCAGCACTTTTCAATGCCACAATAAAATTACTTATTATCAATGTAGTTTTATTATTTACTCGTAACTAATCCCAATTTCACCTGAAGTGTGAATACTCATAAAAGATGAAAAGTTTCATTGGTAAATTACATATTTATCATGAGGGGGGGAACATTAAAATAAATACGGCAAGGTTTGTTCAGTTTTTGCGGCAAATATGCCGTCGCACCGTGCTCGGCAAGGTTTGCTCGGTTTTTGCCGCAAATATGCCATCACACCGTGCTCGACAAGGTTTGCTCGGTTTTTGCCTCAAATATGCCGTCATACAGTGCTCGGCAAGGTTTGCTCGATTTTCGCCGTAAATATGCCGTCACACCGTGCTCGGCAAGGTTTGTTCGGTTTTTGCCGCAAATATGCCGTCACATCGTGCTCGCCATGTTCGTCTTGTTTGTTGCTGACAATTTGCTCTCAAATTATTTCGGCACGCTATGCCTGCATATTGTAAGCAAAATGGTAGTATACATGCTGCAAATTTGCTGCAAAGCTGTGATTGAGTTTGTCGGCAATTTGCTGGCAAATTGCTGACATTTGGCTATCTGGGATGTTATTGAGGTTATGTCTTTTTAGACATCAGTCATGATATTATCTTTATGTTATCTGGTATAGGATATCATAATATTAGTATTATCTTGATATTATGTACAATGAAAACAAACAGAAACTTGTATGCGAGATCAGATTTTTCCACGTAACATGCGTGAAATGACGTAGGTCGGTATTTATAGTCGAATCTCAAGGCGATACTGAAGATCGTCTTAGTCAAGATTATCTTATTGAATGAAGATCACTTTAAAATCGATATAATTCATAAACATATATTAAGATAATCTTTGCGAAGAAGTTCTTGTCTAAGAAATTCTTATTCTACTTGAGAATATCTTCACAAAGATTTGCTTAAGGTGATACTTATTGATCATTCGGCTATTTCCGTATTATTTCTTTTAGGCCAACCAATAAAAATGATCCTTCCTTTGAGCTGAAGTGGTTAAAACAAGAGTGGTCTGTTCTTTTTAACTGTACTACTATACTAGTGCAACAAGTTAGAGTGGACATGTGAGAAAGCTGATACATTTGATTAGAAGAATTAACAAATTTGTATTTGCTATTTGTCTCATTGTAAGATTTCAATCTTTAAAATTAAGAAATTTGAAAATGTCGAAGAATAAACATACAACTGTGGAAAAAAAACTTTTCTTAGAGATACTAAAAGATTTTAAGCACGTCATCGAGGTTAAAAAAAGTGATTCTTCAACACTTCATGATAAAGAACTTGCATGGGCTGAAATTTGCAAGAGATATAACGATTCTTCCATGATTATGCAAGAAGTAAATATAACAAAATTAATTATACTATGTAGAGAAAAGTTTTGAAATATAGCTGTAGATATATTAGTGATATAAATGTTTTCCCTTTTGCAGCGTACAGTTCAACAGCTAAAGAAACTCTGGACAAATCTTAAACAAACTCAAAGAGAATTATTAACTATAAAAAAACAAGCTCGTCTAGCCACTGGTGGTGGCCTGCCACTACCAGAAATAAACATTGATCCTGATGCTGCCATAATAGCACCACATCTTTTAAAAACAGCTCCTGTTCTGTTTGCATCTAATATGACAGAAAATGAGATAAATGGTAAGTAACTTTAAAAATATATTTAAAAATAAATAAAGAAACATAAGTAAGGCATATATATATATATTTATTTATAAATTTCTTACTATTAAATACAATATAGACTGCGTTCCAATATTCATTGCCAAACATTGCCAGCCTTCACAAACTATAGGTATATTCCGTTTCTCGCATGAAACGCATGATACACACATTTATCTATAGTTCATGTTATACATATTATAGAAAATGTTCGCATTATGCGCTTCATGCGAGAAACGGAATGCATCTTACAATTCATGTCACATATATTAAATATTTTCAGCACTGTCAATAATTTTGAAACGGTCATAGTTGCACATGCTAAAGATAGAATTTTACTAGATAGAAAGAATTTTACAAATATTTATTATAATTCATATATTAATATATTTTATTTATGATTCAGAGAAAGGAGAACATGTTTTGAACCTTTTAGAAAATGATGACATCTCATTATTTGTGACGTGGCAGCCGGAAAGGCGCCCGTCCCAGGCCGAACCTTCGGCCCTTATGCGAGGGTGCGGGGGGGGGCGGACAGTACATCGCGCGAGAATTACGGGGGGGGAGCGCCACCTTGCACTCCCCCGCATTAATTAGTGTTAGCGATAGGAGCGTGCGGGTGGAACAGTCCCGCGTCCCCGAGCTCTGTGCCCCTAGACCTCCTGCACCGCCCATCAAGACCGGAGGGACCCGTGGAGGAAGGAAGAGGACGACACCCCTCGGCCAGACCGCCACCCCAGGTGAATGCACTTCTTTACGAATACTATTATCGATTCCGTATCGTAGTGAAAGATTCTCGCTGCAGATTCCGTTGTCCACAGGCCCGCAGGGATATCGCGCCAAACGGTCGGCGTTCCCGTGCTCGAAGCGTGAACGCCGGCTAGACAAAGCCGGTCTAGACAGAGAGACAGCGGGAATGCGAGAGAGAGAGAGAGAGAGAGAGAGAGAGAGAGAACGAGCAAGAGTGAGACCAAGCACCCATCCCGCGGATCGAAAACAAAGATCCGCGGAAGGATTCCCGTATCGGGAGATACGATGAAGAACGGGGAAAGACGGGTAGCGCGACAAACACCAACGAAATAAAAGAGGACACTCCCGTTTCTTTTGTTTCTTCTTACCGTTTTACTCAGAGAGAGTCGATTACCGAAAACGAGAGCAAGAGAATTATCGTGGACGAGACGGGTGACAAGCTTGAGCGGAGTGAGAAAGGATACCGTGTGCCAGGGTGGAGTGCTGGAACCAGGGGAACGACGGAGTTGGTGGATTTCCCTGTGCCGGAGGATTACCGCTGGTGGCAGAATTTCGGAAGGGGCACCCCAAGGAAGGAGACGGAGAGTTCACGCCGCCGGGAGGTCCCCGCATTTGTAAGACCGTCCACTTGCCTTATAGTATCGGTGTCACCCGTATTGAGTCACACGTATTGAGTCTCGTATTAGTTAGCGGCGTGGAGCAAGTTTCGAATTCGCGAGAGCGTCTCGCGGAGTGTACCGTATCGAGGGGTCGGGTCGTGCCGATCCCCGAAAGAATAAAGACTGAGATAAGCGAAGCGCGTCTCGATTCTTGTGTCTTTCCGACTAAATCCCGGACTCCCGATCGAACCCTCCCGTCTACCGACTATAAAATATCGTGGAGCTACCGGTCCCGTCGAATCCGCGTGTCTCGGCCTTGGGTGGTGTACCGTTTCGTGTTGGTGAACGGTGCAGCCCGCTGCACCTGGCGCCCAACTCTTTGGTGCGAGCGCGGACGATCGAGGCGCGTGAACCGACGGCTGTTTGCCGATGGCGAGCGAAAATCCCGTCGCACATTATACGAGAGTAATGTTGATGAGCTGAATGATAAAGAAATTAACAAAACACAAGGTATTTTCGATTAAAATTAATTCAAAATTAAATTTACATATACCATACTATCTGCGAGAAGGTACATAATTTGTTAATTATATAGATTTTATTAATACTTTTATATTTACTCAGTTATATACAATAGAAAAAATAAATATGTTTATTTAAAAATATTTTCAAATAATTTAGATTCATTATTAACGATTTTCAGATATAATAATGGAAAAGATGATTGACAAAGAGAACCAAGATACTAATCTTTGTAATGAAGGTAGTATAAACTATTTTTTACTTATTTTATAGTGTTAATGAGAGGAAGTAACTAAATATTATTGTTTTTACAGTTTTTGAGCTGAAAGAAGAAAATAAATTGGATTTTGCCTGTATGCGACCAGTAAAAATAGCAAAAGGAAAGAGAAATATAAAAGAAAATTTTATTAGCGAGGAAGATACTGCAAAGATGAAAAGAATAAAGCAAATCATAGAACAAAAGAAAGATATATCAGATATAAAAAAATTTCATAAGAAAAAAATTGCTACAATGAAAGAAAATTTTCAAATAGAATTATTTGCTTTACAAATTCGAGAAGCTACTGCGAAAGCTGAGTTAGCCGAGTTACAATTACAAAGGGAGAAAGAAAATACGCGTTTTTAAAAGAAGTCTTTAAAAGAAAATATCGAAGTCCATTTAACCAAAGAAATATAATAAGAGAAAGTTATTTATTTTTAGCTGCAAGAAATTATATTAAAGTATTGAATAATATATTAGGTGCGTAACTAAGTTCTCGCTGTTTTTTTTGATGAAAATGCAACTTTATTGTGAAAAAATGGTTACAAATGAATCATTCAAAATATTGCCCATCGCTAGCGACAACTTTTTCCCATCTTTCTGGCAGAGCTCGAATACCGTCACGGTAGAAGTGTTCGTCTTTTGAGGCTATCCACGAATCAAGCCATTTTGAGATGTCTTCATATGAGCGGAACTGCTGATTAGCCAGACCATGTGCCATCGAACGGAACAAGTAATAATCGGACGGCGCAATATCTGGGGAATATGGCGGGTGGGGTAGGACTTCCCATTTGAGCGTTTCTAAGTAGGTTTTAACGGGTTTGGCAACGTGAGGCCGAGCGTTGTCATGCTGTAGAATCACTTTTTCGTACCTCTGCTCATATTGTGGCCGCTTTTCGCGCAGTGCTCGGCTCAATCGCATCAATTGAGTTCGATACCGTTCCCCAGTGATGGTTTCGTTCGGTTTCAACAGCTCATAATAAATAACACCGCCCTGGTCCCACCAAATACACAGCAAAACCTTCGCAGCGTGAATATTCGGCCGAGCCGACGACGTAGAAGCATGACCGGGCAGTCCCCATGATTTTGTTCTCTTTGGGTTGCTATAATAGATCCATTTTTCATCACCCGTAACGATGCGATGAAGAAAACCCTTCCTTTTTTGTCGCTGGAACAGTTGTTCATAGGCGAAAAAACAACGCTCAACGTCTCTTGGCTTCAAATCATAAGGAACCCAAGTTCCTAGTTTTTGAATCATTCCCAATCGCTTGGAAATGGCTTGGCGGGTAACTCCTAACGCTGAAGCAAGCTCTTTTTGCGTTTGGCATGGATCCTCATCGAGCAATGCCTCCAATTCAGCGTCTTCGAAGGTTTTTGGTCTTCCTTCACGCGAACGGTCGTCAACATCGAAATCACCGTCTGTGAAGCGACGGAACCAATCACGGCACGTTGTTTCACTTAGAGCAGCATCTCCGTAAACGTTTTGGAGTTCTCGATGCGCTTCAGCCGCCGTTTTCTTCGAATGAAAGAAGAAAAGCAACACTTCCCGCAAATGACGATTATTTGGCACAAAATCAGACATTTTCACACAACCATAAGTATATGACGCAAAAACAAAATCACTAATGTGTCAAAGCGGTTTGTTTACCATATGTCTAAGCTTGGTTCATGAGGTTTTGGTTATGTCACAATTGACCAGCACTTACTACTGGAGCCATCTCTTGAAAAACAGCGGGAACTTAGTTGCGCACCTAATAGATTAACCATATTATGTTAGTGTTCGATAACTCACTGCACAGCCACGATGTATATACAAAATATTTTTCACTTTGTTATATTTTGTTTTATTATAAAAGAAAATTTAAAAATTTCATTTTTAAAATATATAGAATAATATTATATATAATAATATATATAATAAATAACAGTGGAAATGTGCAACAAAAAGTAAAAGAAAGACTGAATAAAATTTACTTTATTTGTTATTTTTTGTTTATGGTATAAGTTGTATAATAAGTTGTATAATAAAATATTTATAAAGTCTCTCAATAAGCGCTTCTCGTATTACAAAACCCTCTTCCGGCTGCTAGTGTGGTTCAATTGGTATTTCTATTTCATTATTTTCTTCAACTTCTTCTTCTGGTAATATATCATTAAAAATTAAAGACATGTTATGCAGCACAGCACACGCAACAACCGTTGTTGTTGAATCAATTAAACTGTTGCTTAATCCTCTAGATAAGCACGGAAATCTACGTTACCATATCCCAAATGTTTTTTTCAATAATCCGACGTGTTTTTCCGTGAAGTACATTATAACTGTAAAAAAATACATTTGTTTACTAACGTTTTATAAAAAAAATATATATATAACCTAATATAACCACAGAAAAATACTAACGCAATTTCCTCATCTGTTTGCGGATTCTGAATAGGAGTTAAAAGAAATGGTAAACAGGGATATCCTGCATCTCCTACTAGAATACCTGGCAACTGACGTTGAAAGTATTTCATGTATATAACAGAATTTTGAAAAATTCTACTATCATGTTGGCTTTTTTTTTGTCACGCAGGGGAAATTCATCATGGATACTCCCCGACCCTTGGGGGGTCAGGGGGTTATGTCGGACTCTTACCGACTAAAACCCCTGCAGGGTGTCTACCTGTCGGATCGGTGAGAGGGGAGTCAGGGGAACTACTCCCATATTCCCTCCCCAACCTCCCGGCCACAGGGCTCAAAGGGAGCCCCTCGCTATCAATGCACCGCACCTGTTCCACCAAGGAAATTCAGGGTACGGTCCCCGATCGGTTGCCCGATCGTTGGCCTTTTGGTTTCACCTGAGAAGAGAGGGGACATCCATCCTCCCTCCTTACCCCTCCTCCCTACTATTCAGAGAGGAGAGGGTTTTTGGGGAGTGGGCCCACCCCCAAGTGGGCTTCCCACTCCCCCCTGTCCCTACTCGTCCGACGCACAGGGGGGAGACCGAGTTCCACTTACGCGGAACTCCCGGCTCCCCCCTACGGACGGAGGCGGGCCCGAGGCGGCCGAGGAGGAGGACTTGTCCCACCACTAGCCGGTGGTTCATCCTCCTCCTCGACCGGCGTCACCTCCGGCCCGTTGCCCACTCCCCCCTCTCGGGGAGCGACAACCGGGAACCCGCCATAGGAGGCGGCCTCCTTCTTGGACATAACGTCCCTGCAGAAGGAGGCCACCGCTCCCCATGCCTTCTCGCTCCCGCACATGGCCTTGACCATGCGCGGGAGCGAGATTTTCCCCTCACGACACCCCACCGCCCCGACTAGGACACGG